AGACTGCAGAGACCTCCTTCTCTTATATCTTATTTTTCGGGCCTTTACTTTGGACAATGGCAGAATCAGCAAGTCTCTACTTAATATGTGCCTCCATCCAGCAGGATAAACATGTAATGTTTATATTCCAGTATAACAATGCTGATATAAGAGGGACAACCCCCTAGGGGAGTGACCAGGGTTTTAATAAGTATTATGAGATCATAAGATTCGGAGCCATTTTGTTTTAGACTCAGAGCCACACATACAGGTTCTGAGGGTGAAATGGGGATTTTAGAGCTAAAAATTAACATTTAACTGAGAACTTATTTGGTTTTCCGTGTTTTATTCGGGTTTCCAGTTTTCAAAAATTTTTTACAATATCACACAAGTCTTCAAGATTAAAGATTGCAAACCTAATCTGTCAACACATCTCCAACCTCGGGGGGGGGGGGGGGGGGGGATGTTTGACAGTCCAATACAAATCTAAAAGTAACATTTATGTTAATTTGTTTTTTATCTACAGAAAGACTTTAAAGCATTAAACAGCAACCACAAGACAGTAAGATTGTGCATCCTCCTCAATGAAAAACCTTAAGCAGAGCCTGTTATCTTTTTGCAGTGAGCTAAGAGACCTAACCGCTGCAACATCACTAACTCAGGCTCTGATTGCAKCACTTGATAAAAACAAATGTATAAGTAGTTTTAATGTAAAACTCTGGTGTATTTAACTGCATTCTATATACTGTAGATGCTGATGGGTCTCTGCATGTGAAGAAAAAAGGTCTGTGTGAGGAAACCCTGAACTTTATCCCACTRCTAATTTCTGGCAGACTGAGCTTTTGGGTTTAGGCTTACTCCCTGATGTGTGCGCTGCATTAATGATTTAAAAGTGAGTCTTGTGTGGAGTTTTCACACCAAAAGCAATGTATAAAACTGCAGAGTAAAGATTGCTGCTGTGTTTTAGTGGAAAATGTGGCCTTTAAAAGCTAAAGCCGTGGGTGCTGCATTGATTTTCACTGATTAGGACAAGTATTCAAGTTTAAAGTCAAGTTCATTTGAACGTTAAATTCCAAAAATTTGAATGCTGACCCCCCATAACCTGTACGCTGGGGGATTCTGACACTGAGGAGCAACAGAACACTGATTGTGACAGTTTGGCAGCAGAGAGAAAAATACATTTACATACTTATGCAACTCTACTCCTTTAAAGAAAACATATTCAGAGAATGAAATTTGACAGAAGATAAGAATGCTAAGTTCTAAAATTAACTTAGAAAATATCCGTGACAAGGCGCAGAATAAAAGGCAATGCAGGATCTAATTTTGCACCTTGTCATAAAAGTAATGCAAATTTTGCACCAATTTACCCTTATGGTGGCAGATCAGCACACACATACACACGCACTTGGTGTAAGATATACTTGAAAATAACAGAGTGATGCAGCACCCTCCTATGGAGGTGTGKAGTAATGTGTAGAGGCATCCATCCATCCATTTTCAGATCTGAGATCTCAATGGGACTTGCCTGGTAAAATAACAGTAACTAATAATAATAAATAAAAAATAAGTTTAACCGCTTTTCCTTTCCATGTTGTTCAGCAGCTTGTGGGATCTCCAGCTGTCTTTGTGCGAAGGGTGGGAGACATGCTGGACAGGTCGCAAGTGCAGGGCCACAAAGAGACTAACAACCATTCATACTTTCACTCACAACTAGGAACAGTTTACCAATTAACTTAACTTGTATGTTTTTGGTCTGTGAGAGGAAAACGGAGTACCTAGATAAAACTCAGGCATTCACAAGGAAAACTTACAATCTCCACACAGAATAGTCCCTTGGTGGGAGGCAATCCTGCAAATCCCTTCCAAAGACGAGCAGCTTTAACAAATATAGGCATGCTGTATCTGTGACCAGTAGCCAAATTTGAATTTTGAATTAGAATATTTAGTAATTAACTGAATCTTGATTGTGCTAGAAAATAATTATACCTCTCTGCCTGATTATTAAGTTCATACTGTCTTGACATTTCTATTTGTATCTTTTTGATAACCGCCATTATTTCTTATCATCTGCTCTGATTTCAGAGGCGCCATCGTCTCTTTAACGTGTCCTTTTTCAATTAAGTCACTGTGAGTCTTGTCAGTTCCTCATTGGATGTTCATGTGCTCCGCCTGTATGTCAAAACTCATTTCCTGTAACTCTGCTGTTAGTTGTTGTGTGTCCAGACCACTGATTCGGACCTGGTCACACCGCGGCTTATGTTTGCAATTGCAAACCTTATTAAATCATACGACGACCATTCCACGAAGTGCATCTTCTTTTTATTCACGTTTCTGCCTTTTAATAAATATTTCCACAACATTAACCTTGTCAAGTTCCATTTTTAATCAAATCAAAAGGAAAATCAAACTGTAGTGGACAAAAGAAAAACAATAAATTCTCTTGAGTGAAAGTGTTATGATTGAAACTTCACTTTTTGTGTTCAAACACAGTAAGTCCTCACGACACTGTGATTGGGACCTTTTACTTACAACATATTAATGAGTGTGTCTCAATTCAGGGTTGCAGCCCAAGTACTGCGCTGGTGTAGGAGGCCACACCCTTCACAGTCCAGGTAGGCTACATAAAACGGCTGTGAAACAAGACGGTATAGTCTCTGTATCATGCATAACATATCCCAATTCATTTTAAATCTTGAGGCCATGTGGTATAAAACAGCACTATGGTAACGGAGTACCGCAGGGTCAAGCAGGAGTTATAACTTGAAAAAATTCTACGTATTGTTAAAAATGTTACACATAAATAATCAAAGAACATTAAGAATTTGGGTTTAGCTCAAATATCAGTACTTGTAATAGCATTTTATTTACCATTCATTGCAGAAAAAATGTCATCAGCCAAGTTGGTAAACACATTTAAAAACAAATTCCTTGATTGGTGCATTGTAAATTTAGCCTGGTAAAAACCAACCCCTTATTCTACTCTTCGTATAGATGGTCTGGAACCTCAGCTATTGAGGAACAATTGCTTGCTGAAGGCGTTGACTCTGTTGAAGTTTAAAACTATCGGATCTGATTTACTTAATCGCTAATGTTTGGCCGTGACGTATGTAGTGCGCCAGCTCGACTGTGAAGGAGGTTAAGCTAAGAAGTTAACTGGAAATTGCGAATGCTGTAAACAACCATCCCCAACTGGGCAGAGAGAAACACCAAGCTGAACGAGATGGTTGTAAATGAGTGCTGCAGGCTTTGAGAGACAATTTTAATTTGAAAGCCTTGTCAACACAGACTGAATGGCTTCATTCAGTCACTTCTTCCACTGCCATTGCTACAGGCAGACTAAAACAGCACAGAAAATCAACATTGTCATTCAAAACCCCTCCTTCTGTTCGCTAATTACTGGGGAAATCCTTGACTGTGGGAGAAGTCCCAGACAGAGCAGAGAAGGGAAACTAGAATTGAGAGGAACTGTTAAGGAAAGCAAGGGCCAGGCTATGATGAATTTCCAAACTATATTGTTTTTCCTGTTTGGTTTGCTGCTGGCGGAGTGAACCCTGGGACATCATCTGCCACATAAGATATTTAGATGCAGCCTATGTTTTGGAGGTTTGGGGGGCTGCATTTGTCGGCCACATTAGAAGGAGCCCACGAAATGGGACAGCCTACGGCAAAGTGCAGTGATAAAAACAGCCTACAAATGGGCATTACGTTTGCTGCAACCCCTGAAGTATGACACRGACAAAATTTTACCTGAAAAGCATTACAAAGACAATCTATCACAGATGACTTTGGTGCTACACAGAAAATATTTCAGAGCAAAGGATACCATAAGGTATTTTACAACTGTGGCGGGTGCTGTGTGTTAATAATTACCAACCTAAATTCAAAACACTGTTTTAGAAAAATAAGATTGATAACTCCACTTTAAAAGTACYGTAAGGCACGCAGACCCGCTTACAGATGAGGCTTGAGAC